CATGGTGTGGGTAGGGGTTGGTAAGGGTGACATGGTGTGGGTAGGGGTTGGTAAGGGTGACATGGTGTGGGTAGGGGTTGGTAAGGGTGACATGGTGTGGGTAGGGGTTGGTAAGGGTGACATGGTGTGGGTAGGGGTTGGTAAGAGATGACATGGTGTGGCTATGGTGGTGTTGGGGGAAGATATGGTGGTGTTGAGGATGGTACAGAGGGGGGTGGAATTGCTGGGTTATGGGGGGGGGGGATATGACTCGACAAATTACAGGTCACTTCATCACCGGGTCATATTTTGCCTGACAAGTGTACCTTAGTGTCTTCACCGACCACCATAGTCACTGTCTTATGTAGATTGAACGTCCGTTTATCCAGTGCAGTAGGGATGCTGTGGATGAGTGGATATAACAGTCACCTCTTGTTCCATAGGGCGTTGGTTCTATCCCAGATCACCTGAAAATCAGTCACCCTAATGATGACCTTATTTAACATAACTTAACCTAACCATCTAGATAGTGTTTTGAAAGTTAGGTTAAGTTTAGAGTTAACCTTGAAGTGTTGCCAACCTGGTGAGTAATATTTTTTGGGGTTATTGTTATTATCTACAAACCTCGATAATAATACCACACACACCTGGTCCACCTCTCCCCCCCTCCGGCCCTCCCCTCTCCCACCTGCCACAACACCTCCACCCCAGGCTAGTCTCCAGGGCTGGTACATTGGCTTGGTTTCCGGGGCTGGTCTCCCTGTCATTATTTACCCGTCATTCACCTGCCGTCACTCACCCGTCATTCAACTGCCGTCACTCAACTCGCCGTCACTCACCCGTCATTCACCTGCCGCCGTCACTCACGTTATTCACCTGTTATTCACCTGTCACTCACGTTATTCACCTGCCGTCACGTCATTCAACTTCACCGTCACACAGTCACTCACGTTATTCACCTGCATCACTCACGTTATTCACCTGCCGTCACTCACCCGTCATTCACTTGCCGTCACTCACACGTTATTCACCTGCCGTCACTCACCGTTATTCGCCTCACTCCTCACCAGTCATTCACTTGCCGTCACTCACCATTCCTTGCCGTCACTCACCCGTCATTCACTTGCCGGCACTTACCGTCATTCCTTGCCGTCACTCACCATTCGCATCACTCACCGTCATTCACTTGTCACGTCACTTGCCGTCACTCACCCGTCATTCCGTCATCACCATTCACTTGCCGTCACTCACCCGTCATTCATTGCGTCACTCACCCGTCATTCACTTGCCGTCCTCTCACCATTCACTCAGTCACTCACCGTCATTCACTTGCCGTCACTCACCCGTCATTCTTGCCGTCACTCACCCATTCACTTGCTGTCACTCACCGTCATTCACCTGCAGTCACTCACGTTATTCACCTGCCGTCACTCACGTATTCACCTGCCGCCTCATCACCAGGCTGGAGGGTGGCCGAGGCTGGAGGGTGGAGGGTGGAGGTGGCCAGGCTGGAGGGTGAGAGGCCTGGAGGGTGGCCGAGGCTGGAGGTGGCCGGGCCTGGAGGTGGCAGGGCCTGGAGGGTGGCTGGGCTGGAGGTGGGGCTGAGGGGTGGCCGGGGCTGGAGGTGGCCGAGGCTGGAGCTGGCAGGGCCTGGAGGGTGGCTGGGGTGGGCCTGGAGGTGGCTGGGCCTGGATGGTGGCTGGGCCTGGAGGTGGCAGGGCCTGGAGGTGGCAGGGCCTGGAGGTGGCCTGGATGCTGGCAGGGCCTGTGGCTGGTGGAGGTGGCTGGGCCTGGAGGAGGTGGCTGGAGGTGGCCTGGAGGTGGCAGGGCCTGGAGGTGGAGGGTGGCAGGGGCCTGGAGGTGGCTGGTCCTGGAGGTGGCTGGGCCTGGAGGTGTGGAGGGTGGCAGGGCCTGGAGGTGGCCAGGGCTGGATGCTGGCAGGCCTGGAGGGTGGCTGGTCCTGGAGGTGGCTGGCCTGGAGCCTGGAGGGGCTGGCCTGGAGGGGTGGCCGGGGCTGGATGCTGGCAGGGCCTGGAGGGTGGCCGAGGCTGAATTATGTAAATTTTGTGGAGTCAGGGAGTATTTAGTGGATAGAACCAGTGTGTGACGTACAGTTCTCTCTCTCTCTCTCTCTCTCTCTCTCACATGTGTGTTTGTGGCTTACATCTCTCTCTCTCTCTCTCTCTCTCTCTCTCTCTCTCTCTCTCAACTTTACCGTTGAGGAAATAAACACCATCGAGTACAGTGCCAACCAATCTGCCTCCATCAGTCTCCCCTTAACTACCCTCACAGCAACACCTAGCAGCCGTGGTAAGAAGACGTAATTACTCCCCACCAACGATACCTTTTAGTGGGTTAATGAGTAATTAAGATACCTGGCGTGACATGCACCTGTATATATGACGTCAGGTGTAATTTGGTTGTTTGTTTTTCTCCTTATTTCGTTATTTTTGTTTATTGTTTATATTTTGTTTTATTGTTTATCTTTTTGTTTTGTTTTTATTCTTATCATTTGTTTGTGTTTGTTTTTATTTTTTCTATTTCGTTTTGTCTTTTTTATTCTGTTTATGAAGTTTATGTTTTAATGCATTCTTGATGACTCTCTCTCTCTCTCTCTCTCTCTCTCTCTCTCTCTCTCTCTCTCTCTCTCATCTCCCTCGGGTAATACAACTAGTTTAGATCATGTGGTTAACGCCTTTGTTTTATTTCTTTATTTTTTATCCCCTCCGGCGTAACTTTGGGGAAGTGTCATGTTTGTGTTTGGGTGTGTGTGTGTCAGTCTGTCGGATGATGGGGAGGGGAAAAAGGTGTGTTAATGTGTCTGTTTTGTGGGTGAGGAATGTGTGTGTGTGTGTGTGTCTGTCCCAGGTGATAGGGAGGGGGGAGAAAAGGGTGTGTTGTGTGTGTCTGTTTGTGGGTGAGGAATGTGTGTGTGTGTGTGTGTCTGTGAATTGATGGGAGGGCAGAACAGATATGTCTGTTTGTGGGTGTGTGGGTGTGTGTGTGATTTAGTTCTGCTTGGGTATACATACACACACACACACATACACATGTATATTCATAAGCGTCTCATTGTGCATATATGCTGTACAGTGGTGCATACATCCCACACCTTAGTTATGAAACACTTACTATTGTTTGTTGTGTCTTAAAACCCTAATAAAAATATACCTGGTGTCAACAACGAACCTCCTATTTTCTTTAACTGTTCTCATTATCTTCCAGGGCTGCCTATTTTCTTTCATAAGGACCCAGTTTTCTTTGATAACACTTATAATTTCTTTCATTATTCCTATTTGTTAGAAGTTACGTTTTCTGTCATGTGTCGTTTTTCTCACAGGTTATCAAGTTCATTACAGAAACATTTTTTATACAATATCTTCTTTGTCGCCATCCATAAATAAATTAACAATATATAAATAACAGAATCAGTTAACAAGGATATTATTGTCTATAAGGTAGACTGTCAGTCTTGTAGGAGCTGTCAGTGAGTGTCAGTCAAGCAGGAACTGTCAGTGAGTGTCAGTTACAGAGGCCCTCAGGTACGATACAGCGAGTGTTGGTTACAGGGATACAGTCTTCCGTCACCATGGTGGTACAGCGCCCTGATCCGTTCCTCACTATCTGTTGCCACTCAAACCCGGAGGGACACTGACGCAGCACCTGCCGATACTTGTGAGCCACCGCGTCCCACGTACACACGTAGAACCTCCTGCAGTCCGTCGGGTCCCCGAACCTCCCCTCTTGGGTGCATTCGAATCTGGGTTTCTCCCAGAAGCAGGGGTCCTCGCAGCTCCCCGTCTGCTCGTTGTAGAAGAGGACCCCCCTGTCGTAGGGACACTGATACTCGTGTTGTAGCCAGCCGTGCGTGGTGACGATACAGCTGTAGTATCTGGTACAGTCCTCGGCGTGAGCGAAGGTCCCAGGTGTTGTACATCTGGGCAGACCCGAGAAGCTGCGACACTCTACCGCCTTCTCGTCAAACCAGTCTCCTTCAGGGCACTGATGCATCCTATTCTCCCCGGACTCGTCACAGATGAAGAACGCCCCTTGATCGTAGGCGTCTCGGTAGAACACATTGGAGTCTTGACAGAGGCACTGAGTAGGTCGCCCCGGGTAGCAGACATGACCCCCGAACTCGTTGTTGTAGTTGTAGCAGAAGTTGCCCGTGTTACACTGGGTCGCGTGGGCCCTGCCGTCCACACAGTTGACGAGGGTCTTACAGTTGGCGCACATGTACTGGTTGGGAGCGTCGTAACAGATGTGGTCCAGTGAGGGCTTACGTAAATACTTCATCTCATCACCTTTCATCGTCTTGTTGCATCCCTGGAAACAGTGAAGTTTAATCCCGTTATCATACTTTTGTGTTGATCTGCTACAAAACAGGGAATGAGATTATTAAGAAATTTAAAACATTATGTGAATTTACCTTTAATACTTCCCTGCTGGAGTGATGAGTAGTAATGATTTTTCTTTGGGTGTGTTGGTGGCCCTGACTCTGTGTGTGTGTGTGTGTTACTCTGGACCGTTCATCTACACGCTCAACCTCTCACTCCACACATATGTATTAACAACATTATAACCTATCCCACCTAACTCTCTCTCGGTCACTGTATATACGAGCCTGTTTTCTCCTCACACAGAACAACTCTCTCACATCCACATTTCCGCCGAGTCACTTGAATCTCTCCCAACTTAACTCCAAGAATTTCCGTTTTCTTTGATGAGTAATTATTGTCCGAAGATTGGCCAGTGGAGAGAAAGAGCTGACTACATGTATTATATGACTCTACAGTAAATCTGACTAGATATTTGTTCAGTAAAAATCTTCAGGCGAGTTTACAATTGTTAGCATGTATATAGACAATGCAAGTATATAGTTCAGCATGTATATAGATAATGCAGGTACACAGTTCAGCATGTGTATAGTGAATACAGGTATACAGTTCAGTATGTATATAGATAATGCAGGTATACAGTTCAGCATGTATAAAGACAATGCAGGTATACAGTTCAGCATGTATATAGATTATGCAGGTATACAGTTCAGCATGTATATAGACAGGTGTAAGAGGATGCACCTGAGACATACCAACGGTAATGAGGCATATTATATGTCCCAACGAGACGAAGAGACTGTATTAATTGAGACTGAATGCGGAAAGAATCTGGGTGTGTATGTTGACAATGAACTAAAGTTCTCAGGCCATTGTGAGAAGAAGGTGAATCAGGCAACTAAATTATTAGATCTTATAAGAAAGTCGTTTAGATATCTAGACGGTTCGTCCCTCGTAAGATTTTCAAGAGCGAGGTGCTTCCCCGCCTGGAGTATTGTCTGGTCCCCGAGATTTGCTAGGGACTGAGGTGCAGGCACTTGGGCACCTCAGCTACCTAGAGGGATTAGAGCGCCTGCATTTGCCTGGCAAGGAGAGGCCTAATTGAGGTGTATAAATATCTCAAAGGGCACTACTCAGTCGAGAGTTCTTACATGGAGCTGGCGGACGCTCACCCCACAAGGGGTCACAGCTCAATGTTGAAGAAGCCGCAAGTCCAGAAAACTCTAAGGGCAAACTTTTCTGAGTGAGAGTTATGAACTCGTGGAACAACCTGCCAGAGTGTATTGTGACGGCACCGAGTGTGAGCTCTTTCAAGAACAGACTTGACCAACACTGGAGCAGGTACAGATACATTCAGGAGCCGGTGCATACCCAGTACTTGTCAAGAGTGTAACAGAGGCGTAACCGATCTCCCAAGCGGCTAACGAGCCGATCGGTGGCGAAGAGGATAAAAGTAATACAGGTATACAGTTCAGCAAGTCACTCGCCCCCTCAGGATCACACTAGTGAGTGAGGAGAAGAAATGGGAAGTTATTCGGCAGGCAAAAAATCTTAGCAAGGAGCGAGGCATTTCGGAATGTATTCGTTCACCCAGATCGCACGGTAATGCAGAGGGAACAGCACAAGAAGCTCCTGCAGGACTTGAAGCAGAGGAGGAAGGAGTAGAGGAGGAACGGGTGTACATGGGTTATATCCAGGGGGAGGGTAGTGGAAGCAAGAGTGCCAGCACAGAGCCAGGGGGCAGCTCTACCTCCCACCCAGGAGGAGGCACCAGCTCTGCCTCCCACCCAGGAGGAGGCACCAGCTCTACCTCCCACCCAGGAGGAGGCACCAGCTCTACCTCCCGCCCAGGAGGAGGCACCAGCTCTACCTCCCGCCCAGGAGGAGGCACCAGCTTTACCTCCCACCCAGGAGGAGGCACCAGCTCTACCTCCCACCCAGAAGGAAGCGAGCGCCGTGTAAGCAATGACATTTCTAACCAACCTTGCAAAATACAGTGTATTTAGAAATGCTGCAGCTGATGAGAAAGGAGAGGGGGCGGAGTTATTACCAAGATCAGAGACGTTACCGATAACAAATTCCGGCTTGAAAGTCATCCACCTTAATAATAACACGTTCTTTGATAAGAGGGAGGAGTTTGAAACACTACTGAAGGTACAACAACCCAATATATTAAGAGTTGTAGAACTGTTGTACAAGAACAAGAGAATCGACCCTGAGGAATGTGAGTTCAGTATTGACGGATATGACTTACTTACGAACCTTTCCCAAGAAACTTGCAAGAGGGGTGTGGTTATCTATGCTAGGCAAGACCTGTTGAGCAAGTCAGGTGAGGGTACAGGGAGAGGATGTTTTTGAAGAATCAAAGTGGCGTAAAATTAAATTACTGTCAAGGGTTGGGGGATAGACTTACTTATTATCGGGTGTATCTACAGATCCTCAAACTGTAGCTTACCAAATCAAAGGAACTTAAGAGCCTTAATAGACAACGCAGCGATGCTCAACCCTAGCCACCTCCTTATCACGGGGGACTTAAACAATGGCGACATCGACTGGAGAAATGAGTTCACACCAAATGACTTAAATAACCCCGTTACTCTTTTTGTGGAAACTCTGAAAGATAATTTTCTGTTCCAACATGTTAAAGACCCGACGCATTACAGAGGGGAGCAAACACCCAGGCCACTGGACCTCATCATAACAAACGAGGAGGGTATGATGGCCAAGCTGGAACATCTAGCCACAGTTGGCACCAGCCACCATGTAATGTTGTCATTCAGATTTAATTGTTACTTAATTCATGACAAAACCAGTCCAAGGTGCAAATATTACAAGGGAAATTGCGACGGGATGAGGGAGGAGATGAGGGGTATCCACTGGCCTGACTCACTAAGGCATGAGAACGCAGACACTATGCTGAATATCATAGTCAGTAAAGTGAACCATTTGATCGAGAAATATATACCCAAGACCAAACCCAGTGCCTCTGGAAATACAAGGAGACCCCTACACATAACCATGCGGCGGTGGACAAAGTTAAGAAGAAAACCCTGAAAGTCAAGACGTGGGTAGGTCGAATGATGAGCAGGACAGGAGGATATCTGCAAGAGCCAGAAACTAACCAAAGTCAGAGTGTAGAAGGGCTGAAAAGGAGTTCCAGAGGCTGGTTGCAAGCGAGGTCAAGTCAAACCCAAAGGTGTTTTACTGTTGTGCAAAGTCGAAATTAAAAACGCGAGTAAGAGTATCGAACCTGAGGCTTGAAGATGATCGTTACGCAGATTCTGACCAGGATATCGCTGAGGCATTGAACAGCTTCTTTTCTTCGGTGTTCACAAGAGAGGATGCGATTAACCTTCCTGCGTTTGAGGACAGACGGTTCGATACAGCACTGACCCACATTGTGTTCACAGAAGAGGGTATTAGAAATAAACTGTCAAAGCTAAAGGTTCATAAGAGTCCCGGCCGTGACATGATGCATCCCAGAATGCTAAGAGAGATGTGCAACGAGCTTGCCGAGCCCCTGAAGATCCTTTTCTGTAAATGTCTGGATGAATAAAGATCCCCAATGATTGGAAAATGGCTTATGTGAGTCCTATCTTCAGAAGGTGATCTTCACTCCATGAACAACTAAGACAGCATAGTATATGCAAAGTGCTTGAGAGCATTATAAGAAGCCATGATGGAACATCTCTACGAAACAACCTTGTAAAGTATTGCCAACACCGGTTTATACTTGAGTAGCTTAATACACTTATTCAAGGTACTGGATATTTGGACCCACTGTAACGGGCCGAGTTTCCTCTTTTCAATAATTTACCATCCAGTTATTCTTTTCAATGAGTATCCGGTTTTATATACTTATCCTTCTTCAGTTCCTAACACACATACTTACTTTATATATTCTTGCTTATATTCTTATATGTTCTTTATCTCTATATACCTTATATTCTTATATAAGTAACTCTTATGCTTCTCTGCTTATGTTTTCCAAGTCAATGTTCTTTCTTTAAGTTTCCTTTCATATATTATGATCTCTTCCATATATTTTGTTCTAGTTATATTCTAAACCATGGATTAACCTGGGAACCATGTCTTTCTTATTACCACACTTATTATACTTACACCGGTAGCCTGCCACCACCCAGGATTTTTCTAGAATATAACATATCTTAGTTAACTGTTAGGTAGCGAGCTTCTAGGGACGTGAGTTAGTTATTTTCTGAGAACCAATGTGGGAAACGATAGAGTGGTGATACTCGTAGACGTAGATTACTAATTCAATATTTATTAACACAGTGATTGGATAAGATGCATCTTAGATTCACTCAGACAAAGCAAAACTGCAATTTATTTCTTAAGTCATCAAACACTTCAAGAACTTATTACCTCATTAAATACCTCCAAATTCTTATTACTTCAATCGACAATTGTGGTATTGTCACTCTGCCACATGATATTCAGTACTAGGTATACACCAGATATCACTGGACCCTCAGGTCTTACCTTACCAAATAGCAAATTAACTCTTCACTTCTTGGTTATATCATTATACTCTCAGATTATCATTTCATGGTCACTACCAATGAATACATAGCACAATGAACAACTCCACAATTATCTCAACATACAATACCTCCTGTTAATTCACAAGGAACGACATGGCACTTTTAACTCTCATTCAGTGGTTCAATACTTACCTGGGATACTATATTTCTGCTAGTTATCCCCCAAACAAGATACCATAATACTTAGGCCTATGTAATTGTGAGGAGTGCCCCAGGGTAATGCTGGTCTCTACAACAAATGAAGATCGCTGTTAGGGGTCGGTTGTAGACCGACACACGCTCAGGGAGTGGGCGCCTGATTTGCAGGAAACGGACTTCCCAGTTCAGTCCTGTCGAATCAACGGCATCGTCCAACCCGGTTACCGCCCCACGTTAGCCGATGAGTATTCAGCTCAACACACTGGAGAGACGTTGAGGAAG